AAGCCAAGATGTCCATCGACAGATGAATGGATAAAGAAGATGTGGTATATATATACAATGGAATATTATGCAGCCATCAAAAGGAATGAGAGCTTGCCATTTGCAACGTGGATGGAACTGGAGGGTATTATGCTGAGCAAAATAAGTCAATCAGAGAAAGACATGTATCATATGACCTCACTGATATGAGAAAGTCTTAATCTCAGGAAACAAACTGAGGATTGCTGGAGTGGTGGGGGGTGGTCGGGATGGGGTGGCTGAGTGATAGACATTGCAGAGGGTATGTGCTATGGTGAGCGCTGTGAATTATGCAAGACTGTTGAATCACAGATCTGTACCTCTGAAACAAATAATACAATATACGTTAAAAAAAAAAAAGGTAGCAGGAGAGGAAGAATGAAGGGGGGGAAATCGGAGGGGGAGACGAACCATGAGAGACGATGGACTCTGAAAAACAAACTGAGGGTTCTAGAGGGGAAGAGGTGGGGGGGATGGGCTAGCCTGGTGATGTGTATTAAAGAGGGCACGTTCTGCATGGAGCACTGGGTGCTATACGCAAACAACGAATCATGGAACACTACATCAAAAATTAATGATGTAATGTATGGTGATTAACATAACAATAAAAAATTTTTTAAAAGATTTTATTTATTCATTTGACAGAGAGAAAGCACAAGTACAAGGAGCAGCAGCAGAGGCAGAGGGAGAAACACACTTCCCGCTGAACAAGGAGCCTGATGCGGGGCTCGAGCCCAGGACCCTGGGATCATGATCTGAGCCAAAGGCAGATGCTTAATCAACTGAGCCACCCAGACTCCCCAGAAGCTGAATATCTTAAAATTCCCTATCACTAGTTCAATGCTAAGCAGTGCAAGTGTTTTTTGTTTTTTGTGTTTTTTTAAAGATTTTATTTATTTATTCATGAGAAAGACAGAGAGAGAGGCAGAGGGAGAAGCAGAGGGAGCCCGATGCGGGACTCGATCCCAGGACCCTGGGACCATGACCCGAGTCGAAGGCAGACGCTCAACCATCTGAGCCACCCAGGCGCCCGAGTGCAAGTGTTTTGCTGCAATTTTTTGAGCTCAAGAATGAGACTGCAACTTTTCTCAATATAACGAATAGCTCTGGAAATTACTTTTCACTGCAGACTTAAAAATGTTTCTTAATAACTAAATCTAAAATTACAAGGTCTACTGCTTGCTAACCCCGCCATGGATAATGTTCCTGAGAGTAAATGACACTGCTCCTTGGACTGCATTCTCCTTGTTGGGTCCCCAGGTAAAGAAGACTGTCCTACCCAGGGATACACTGATTCTTGGTTCCATATAGCAGAGCAAGTATTGTTCCCTGATAATGGAGTTCATGCCCCACAAATAATCAATAATGTATCCTTAACTTTAGCTACCACAGCAATGAGATGTCACAAGCCCTACAGCACATCAGCAGATATTTGTCTAAATGCCCTGCATGGATTATATTGGGTACAAGACTGGCCTTGGACTATATTCTGGCTGAACAGGGAGGAGTATGTATGGTTGCCAACATCTCCTACTGAGTTGGATTAACACTACTGGTTAGGTGGAACAATCCATACATGCTAAGGAAAGGAAACTAATGGTTATCTGAAAATACCTACTAGTCCCCTCTGGGACTTACTCACTTAGCTGAATCTGAGATTATGAGGTGGATGGCTGAGATCAACACTGCAGAACGGCTTCATCCTGCTAATTGGGATTCTGTTTATAATCGCCTTAATCAAGTGTTATACGAGACAAACTGAATGGATTTCAATGAACGTCACTGCATCTAATTTTGAAGGGTAGACTGTTGGGAGCAATGGCCTACAATGAATCCCAAGCATCCCCATATGTCCTTGCTGAGTACGGCAAACTGAAGGCCTAACTATCCTCTGACTCTAAGCCATTTTTATAACTAGTAATGAAGGCAGTTTGGTAGGTCAAAATGACCACAAAGTAACTGCTCACTCTTTCAAACAGGGTCACTGGTTTGCTTACTGTTTTGCTACAAAAGGTGCTAAGCCCTTAGTACTGGCTTCCTCAGCTGCAGTACAACCCACTATATAAAATGCCATCAGGTGGGCTCATCATATTACCCCATGGTAGTTAGAGGCAGGGTGGACCAGTGCTATCATGTAACACTCCTAGTGTTTCCTAGGCTGGAGTAGAAATACATTATCTTGTTCTAATCTAGTGAGTCTTAATATCCAGTTTTGGCATCTATGGAGTTCTAGTTCTAGGAGGTTAAAATATAAAAACCACATGTGCTTCAGGGGTGCCTGGGTGGCTCAGTCAGTTAAGCATCCAACTCTTGGTTTCAACTCAGGTGGTGAATTCAGGGTCCTGGGATCAAGCCCCTCGTGGGACTCCACACTCAGCGCAGAGTCTGCTTTGTCTCTTTCCCTCCCCTTCTGCCCCTCCCCACACTCGCTTGTGCTCTCTCTCACACAAATAAATGAATAAATAAAAACCACATGTGTTTCATAAAATTAATTCCTGGAATCTTCGTCCCAAAGCAAAATGCTGGTAGGTCCGGATATAATTCCTACCTCAGGTGCACTAACCATTTATACATTAATCACTATCAACACAACTACTTGGTTGGACTCCCTATAAGTCCATGGTACATGTCCACTGAGTCTAAATACCTGAGTCTTAAAACAATGGAATCCAGCACTTTCAGAAGTTATAACTAATTTTTAAAACAATGTGTAAAAAAAAGATATGCTGTGGTTGACAATTTAGAGGCCACATATTTAATTTTAATTTTTTTATTTTTTTTTTTTTGAGAGAGAGAGAGAGAGGAATGGGGAGGGGCAGAGGGAGAGGGAGAGAGAGAACAACCCTGAGACCATGACCTGAGCTGAAATCAAGAGTCGGACGCTTAACTGACTGAGCCAACCAGGTACCCCATCACATATTTATTTCATTTTTCTTAAAGATTTTATTTATTTGACAGAGAGAGACACAGTGAGAGAGGGAACACAAGCAGGGGCAGAGGGAGAGGGAGAAGTAGGCTTCCCGTGGAGCAGGGAGCCGGATGCAGGGCTCCATCCCAGGACCCTGGGATCATGACCTGAGCCGAAAGCAGACGCTTAACGACTGAGCCACCCAGGCGCCCCAACACATATTTATTTTAAATGACAAGCTCCTCATAAAAATATCATTACTCTTTGATCCACTAGTTTGACTCTAGATGATTTAGGAAAAGTAAATAAATGGGAAAAAAAAAGCAATATATAAAAGCACTCTTTTTTTTTTTAGATTTTTATTTATTCATTTGACAGAGACAGAGAGAGACACAGCGAGAGAAGGAACACAAGCAGGGGGAGTGGGAGAGGGAGAAGCAGGCTTCCCACTGAGCAGGGAGCCCGATGCGGGACTCGATCCCAGGACCCCGGGATCATGACCTGAGCCGAAGGCAGACACTTAACAACTGAGCCACTCAGCCGGGAGTCTGCTTCTCCCTCTGCCTGCTGGTTCCCCTGCTTGGTCCCCCTGCTTGTGCACGTTCTCTCTCTCACTCTCTCTCTCTCTCTGACAAATAAAATCTTTAATAAATAAATAAAAATGTCTTATTGTAGAAAACTCCAAATACAAAAGTAGATAGAACATTATAATTAATCCCCATATACTCACTACGCAGACCCAACAACCCACAAATCACAGCCAATCTGCTCCACCCACCCCCACATTCTTCCTTCTCAAATCTACCCTAAAGCAAATCCCAAACATGGTACCTCTTCTTCAGCAGGTATCTCAGTTTGTATCTGCAAAAGATAAGAACTTAAAAAAAGGGGGCTCCTGGGTGGCTCAGTCGTTAAGCATCTGCCTTCGGCTCAGGTCATGATCCCAGGGTCCTGGGATCGAGCCCCATATCGGGCTCCCTGCTCGGCGGGAAGCCTGCTTCTCCCTCTCCCACTCCTGCTGCTTGTGTTCCCTCTCTCACTGTCTGTCTCTGTCAAATAAAATCTTTAAAAAAATAAATAAATAAAAATCAGTAGCACTGCTATAAAATTTTTGGTTTACCATAAAAACCTTTTCACCTAGGTCACTAACACTGGTAGTAGGGCTTTCATTGAAAAAGTCAGTTAAAGGGCGCCTGGGTGGCTCACTCGGATAAGCGACTGCCTTAGGCTCAGGTCATGATCCTGGAGTCCCTGGATCGAGTCCTGCATCGGGCTCCCTGCTCGGCAGGGAGTCTGCTTCTCCCTCTGACCCTCTCCCCTCTCATATGCTCTCTGTCTCATTCTCTCTCTCTCAAATAAATAAATCTTTTAAAAAAAAAAGTCAGTTAAAGAGGGAATCGTATACGAAGAAGTTATTATAAGAAATTTTAATTGAAAATGTTAATAAATGTACATATATCACAGACCTGTATCCCTGAAACAAATAATACATTATATGTTAATAATTAAAAAAAAAAAGAAAAAGAATTGAAATCTGATCAAGCTACTAGGTTTAACTGCAAAATTTACAAGAAATATGGAGGAAAAAGAACATCCTGTTACACCTTAGAGATACAATCAGGAAAATATAGACCGTGGGAAACTATGCAGGACAAACATCCCAGATTCTTTAACCAATAAATTACAGGAAGGAAACATGTAGATTAAAAATGACTTAAGAAAGAGATATATCCACTAGTTGCAATGTACAGATCTTATTTGTATCCTGATTCAAAGAAACAAACTTTAAAAAATTGTTACATTCATGAGATAATTGAAATACATTTTAAATGCTAATTAGATGTTTATAATATTAATTGTTATTTTAAAATGTTAGATGTTGATAATGATATCAGGGTTCTTTTTTTTTAAGATTTTATATATTTATTTGACAGAAACACAGCAAGAAAGGGAACACAAGCAGGGGGAGTGGGAGAGGGAGAAGCAGGCTTCCTACAGAGCAGGAAGCCCGATATGGGGCTCGATCCCAGGACCCTGGAATCATGATCAGGCGCCCCAGTGCTACTGATTTTTTGTAAAAGAACTAGAAACAGGGGCACCTGGCTGGCTCAGTAGGTAGAGCATGCAACTTTGATCTCGGGTTGTGAGTTTGAGCCCCACGTTAGGTATAGAGATTGCTTAAAAATAAAATCTTTAGGGGCGCCTGGGTGGCGCAGTCGGTTGAGTGTCCAACTCTTGGTTTCAGCTCAGGTCATGATCTCAGGGTCATGGAATTGAGCCCCACATCGGGCTCCCTGCTCAGTGGGAGACTGCTTTTCCCTCTCCCTCTGCCCCTCCCTGCTGCTTGTGCTCTTGAGAGTGTGTTCTCTCTCCTTCTCTCTCAAATAAATAAAATCTTTAAAAAAAAAAAACCAGTGAAATAAAATCACAAATAATTGATTATAACTATGTAAAAACTATGTATATTGATAAAGATTAGAAAATAAGAAAATAAGGGGCGGCTGGGTGGCTCAGTAGGTTGAGCATGCAGCTCTTGATTCTGGCTCAGGTCATGATCTCAGTGTCATGGGCCTGAGCCCCACATCAGGCTCCACACTCATCAGGGAGTCTGCTTCTCTCTCTCTCCCTCTGCCCTTCCCCCCGCTCACTGTCTCTCTCTCTGTCTAAAATAACTGAATAAAGCTTAAATTAAAAAAAAAGAAGAAAGTAAAATATGTTCTGTAAGTTTGGTTATAAATTATAAATTAGGGGTATCTGGGTGGCTCAGTCAATTAAGCGTCTGCCTTTGGCTCAGGTCATGATCCTAGGGTCCTGGGTTCGAGCCCTGCATCGGACTCCTTGCTCAGCAGGGAGCCTGCTTCTCCCTCTCCTTCTGCCTGCCACTCCCCCTGCTTGTGCCCACTCTCTCTCTCTCTTTCAAATACATAAAATCTTTAAAAATAAATAAATAATAAATAAATTAAATAATTGGTATCTCTTAGGAGTTTTTAAAGTTATTTTGCCGGGGCACCTGGGTGGCCCAGTCGGTGAAGCATCTGCCTTCGGCTCAGGTCATGTTCCCAGGGTCCTGGGATCCAGGCCCCGCATCGGGCTCCCTGCTCAGTGGGGAGCCTGCTTCTCCCTATCTCTCTGCTGTTCCCCCTACTTGTGCTTGCTCCTGCTCTCTCTCTCCCTGTCAAGTAAATAAATAAAAATCTTTAAAAAAAAAAGTTATTTTAATGTAATTTTGTTAAAGTAGCAACCTATCTTGGGGTACTTAAAATATGATTCAATATTTAAAATCAGAATACAGAGGGGGCACCCGGGTGGCTCAATCAGTTAAGCATTCAACACTCAATTTCGGCTCAGGTCATGATCTCAGGGTCCTAGGATTGAGCCCTGAGGCAGGCTCCATGCTTGGCGTCTAGTAGCATGCTCAAGATTCTCTCTCCCTCTCCCTCTGCCCCTTCCCTCCACTCCCCACTGCATGCACGTGCTCTCTTAAAAACAAACAAACCAACCAGAACACACCAGTTAGTCACATTTAAGTATTTAAATTAGCAATATGAGGACACCTTTTGTCATCCCTACTGTCAGAATGGCTACTGGATTCCATCATTTCTGAATTCTTAACTCTACCCTTTCTTGAGCTAGAATGGAAACAAATAGATAAGATCCACTCCCATAGCTGCAGTAGAAACCAATAGATAAGAATATTTATGATGATGTTACACCTTAACAAAGAAGACAAATTTAGACTCCAGTAACTGTTTTAACCTTCATTCGGTGAACTATTTACAGAAAAACATATCCAACTTCACAATACAAAAAATTATGCTAGAAACTCTCTTAGGTCTATCAGATATAGGGAGACTGCATAGCTCAGCTGGTTAAGCGTTGGACTCTTGATTTCGGCTCAGGTCTTGATCTCAGGGTCATGGGATCAAGCCCCCAAGATCAGTGCAGAGGCTACTTAAGATTCTCTTGCTCTCCCTCTGCCATCCCTGACCCCTCACCCCCCCATGCGCATGTGTGCACTCTCACACTCTCAAATAAATAAATCTAGAAGTTAAAATACTTTTTAAAAAGTCTATCAGATATATAAATCCATTGTTTAAATCTAACATCCTTGAGAAAAGTCAATTCAAGAAACTTAACTTTTAAAATAATTATGTAGGGACACCTGGGTGGCTCAGTCAGTTAAGCATCTGCCTTTGGCTCAGGTCATGATCCCAGGGTCTTGGGATCAAGTTCCGCATCCGGCTCCCTGCTCAGTGGGGAGCCTGCTTCTCCCTCTGCCTGCTGCTCTCCCTGCTTGTGCTCTCTCTCCCTCTGACAAATAAATGAAATCTTTAAAAAATAATAGTGATAAAAAAATAAAATAAAACAATTATGTAATTCCAATCTCTGTCTTGTTAAGCATGAAACTTTTTTTAAAAGCTTTTATTTATTGGGGCGCCTGGGTGGCTCAGTCGGTTAAGCGTCTGCCTTTGGCTCAGATCATGATCCCAGGGTCCTGGGATCGAGCCCTGCATTGGGTTCCCTGCTTGGCGGGAGGCCTGCTTCTCCCTCTCCCACTCCCCCTACTTGTGTTCCCTTTCTTGCTGTGTCTCTCTCTGTGTCAAACAAATAAAATCTTTAAAAAAAAAAAAAGGCTTTTATTTATTTATTTAAGAAAGAGAGAGGAAGAGAGCTCCAGCATAAGCAGCGGGGGAGAGGCAGAGGCAGAAGGAGAAGCAGGCTCCCCTCGCAGCAGGGAACCCGATGCGGGGCTTGATCCCAGGACCCAGAGATCATGACCTGAGCCGAAGGCAGACACTTAACAGACTGAGCCACCCAGGCACCCCAAGGATGAAATTTCTAGAGAAAGATAGAATTCTGTTTATTTACATGTACTTAGTACATTTTTACATGTACCAACAGCAATCATTTAAATTATCACACTCTTAAAAAGCATTAAAAGTCTTTTCTGGGAATGGATCAGGGGGTGGGAAGGGTTGGGGTAAGAAGTTATTCTTTAAAAGATTATTAGTATTATTTGATCTTATAACCACAGATACAAATTATGTAGATATATGTATTTTTATATGTGAAGTAATTTCTACCACTTAATATAACCACCATGAGTCAAAGACAATACCTTGGGGTGAGGAAAGATGTTGCTCTTGTAGCTTCTCCTGAGAGAGGAGTCCCAAGTAGCTGAGAACAACATACTTCGTTTCATAGTGAAATCCTAGAGGCACAGTAGTAGAGGACGCCATTGAGTTGGCTGGCAGAGCTCCAGAAGTCTACTTACAGATGTGTAAAACCTAAAAACATAAGTTATTTTTTCAGTTTAAAGTTTGTTACATGCCAGTACATTTCCCCATTGACTGCAATTATTCAATTAAATACCAAAATAAGTATTTCTCACACTTTTCTTCTCAGTAATTTTTAAAAATTGTAACTTTAGTTTACTTACAAGTCAGAATTTATTAATTCAGACTTCAGATCAAAAGCAAATTTCCCTTTCTATCTCTCCCTAGTTTCTCTGTTTTCACCTATGTGGCAAAAACACTGGCTATGCCCCCACCTTTCCCTCCACCCCAACATATATTCTCTTATTTCTTTTAATAATAAAGCCTCCTGGGGCACCTGATTGGCTCATTTGGTAGAGCATACAACTCTTATCTCGGGGTTGTGAGTTCAAGCCCCATGCTGGGTGTGGAGATCACTTAAAAATAAAATCTTAAAAAAAAAAATTTAAAAAATGAATAAATAAAGCCTCCTAAATTCTAGCTAGGTCCATGGCCACAAAACTGCAGACCACATTTCCCAGTTCCTTAGCAGCTTCATGTGCCAAATGATTAGACTGAGTCAAAGGAATATGAGCAGAAGTTATATGTGCAATCCGTGGGTCTCTTTTTAAAGATTTTCTCTTTCCTCCTTGCTATGGTTTGGAATGTGAATATAGCAGACAACCAGTTCTGACATGCAAACAAGGACACCAATTTAGGGGATGGCAAAGTAACAAGAGAGAAGGATCTGGGTCTCTGAATGACCACGTGCAGCAGAGCCGCCCTGCCTGGACTAACCACCTCTGGACTGTCATTTAAGGCATTTCATTCTGAAATCTCTTCATTCGGCATCCTAACTTGTACCCTAATTAATACAACTACAACTTTTGCCTCTTCACATGGACTTAGTAGCTGTTTTACCTACCATGTGCCTTAACAGTTGTTTAAAATCAAAAATTCTTATTAAGGAGTTTCCAAATAACTGAGTTTTTTACTTAAACAATAATACTAACTGCTTTAAGATCTCAGGAAATAGCCAGTAAAAGAAAAAGAGGTTCAGATAACTAACAACATGAAAAGGAGACAGGCAATGTTGACAAAATTTAACATCTATAAGCCAACTAAGAGAAATGTCTAAGAGTGATAAACAATGAAAAAATACATGCAGAATTTTATTTTATTTTTTTAAAGATTTTATTTATTTGACAGAGACACAGCAAGAGAGGGAACACAAGCAGGGAGAGTGGGAGAGGGAGAAGCAGGCCTCCCACAGAGCAGGGAGACCGATGCGGGGCTCGATCCCAGGACCCTGAGATCATGACCTGAGCTGAAGGCAGATACTCAATGACTGAGCCACCCAGGCGCCCCCATTCAGAATTTTAAATACACAAAAGAAAACAGTGGCTATATAAAGAGATAAAAAGGAAGAATAACATAAAAATATGCTTTGAATGGTTAAATACTGTCTTTAAAAAATGCATTTATGGTTGCTATTATCAGTATTTACTTAGGCTATCGAAAGAAATCCTAGTGCAATATTTAAAAGTCCCTATTGTTTCCTATCTTCATGGAGCAATGCTACCAAATTATACCAAAACATATATGAAATCAAACAGTAGGCCTTAGACCGCCCTGTTCAACTTTAAAAGTTTATCAACTTCAGAAACTATTTCAAAATTATTACTACATACCCCAAAGAAAGGGAAAAAGTGTCACAGCTTACATCACAGGAATAAAAGCCACACCCACTGTGTAAATACAGGGTGCTTTACTCTTAAAAAGCTCAAAATATTTGATACTTTTACAGTTACCATTTAATAGTGACAGAATTTCAAGTTTACAAATATAAAAAGGGATACCCACAAAGGTAAAATAAGTTTTCTGAGGCCTATCAGTCAGGTACTAGCTAGCCGCGGTGCTGTAATGAACCTTTGCTTTTTTATTGTATTTTTTTGCCTGCCTGCCATCTGAACCCAATTTCCTTTATAGGGAGCATCCAACATTGCGTCAATCTTGATAGGAAACAGAAATCTCCCAGCCCCCACTGTAAAAGCTAAAATGAGATAGATTTTTTTTTCTTTCCCATTCTCCTGTTCTGTAGCATGTAGGGTATATGATCTAGGTTCAGCCAAGTCAAAGACCCCTACTAGCATCGAGAATGTGGAAAGACATTTAAATTAAAGATAATTCATGGAGAAGGTTGTGGTACTAAGTCAGCAGAGGCAGAGGTGCAGATCCAACAACAGTGTCCTAACTCTTCTGTTCCTTGGCCTGATCCCTGTTCAGTCTGCAGCCAAGTCTCCCTTGGTTCCTGCCTGTTTCCCAAACCTGATTTTCCAGCTTCCTATCCATTCTGTGAGCTACCCAATGCCCTTTTCATAAGTTCCATTTCTGCTTAAATAAGCTAGAATGATTCTGTGGTGTTGGCAAAAAAGAGCTAACTGGAACAAGGGCCAAGATGGAACCTAATTTTCTTGAAACTTGTGAGGCAGTTCCCCAACAACTATAACACACTACTTTCATGTGAAGATTACTAGGCTGAATTTATAGTTGAGAAAAATCTTTAAAGTCCTCATATTGACCTAGTAATTGTATCTACTGAAACAGAAGGCGATGCCTTCTGATAATTTTGTGTGTTCATTCAACACACATTTCTTAAGATACAAGGTACTCTACAGACATTAGGCATAAATTAAGATAAATCACCTGCCTTCTGGAGTTTTTGACCAAGCAGAGGAAAACGAAAACATGCAAATAAATCTGAATAATAAAGTTCTATGTTACAAGTTAGTATCCACAGAATAGGAGAGGGCAACCCAAAAGAGGAAGCAGTAAAGTCTCTCTGGGAAAGGAAAAAAGTAAAAATCAGGAAAGGCTTTATCAAGTAAAATCTGAGCCAATCTTGGAACATGAGTAGGTATTCACTAACTGAACCAGCTTAGGGGGATGAGACAGGGATGCATTTTAAATGTAAAGACCAGGAAAAAGCACAGAAGCGTTTTGAAACAGCAGGGAACATAAAAACTAAGGAATCTGACATGGCTAAATCGTAAGCTATAAGGGGGATGAGGCTCAGCAGGAGTAAGCAGCAGTCAACATTTGGTGTGCTTTGTATACCATGGGATTCTGGGCAGCTTAGGTTTTATCCTATAAGCAAGGAATTATTTTAACCATGTTCATGAACGAACCCCCTAAAACTGTATGCAAATTCTCTGTGCATGAGCATTTTTTTCTAGAAAGAAGAATCATTCCATTTCTTTCGTTAGTTTCTCAAATTAGATCATGATGTAAAACAGGCTAAAAACTACTATAGAACACTACCAGGAACTATTGAAAGGTTTCAAGCAAGAAAAGCATTCAACAGATTGTATTCTAGAAAAATCATCCTGGAGATGGTATGGAAGATTAAGAATAGAGACTGGAGGCAAGGACACAAGTTAGGGGAATATTGGAAAAATCTAAACAAGATGTATGAAGGCGTAAATTAGAGCAAGAACACAAGAAAGAAGGGGATGAATAGGAAAAATATTAAGAGCTTCAAAGATTTGTTAACTAACTTGGTAAGAGTACTCCAGGCAGCTGTAGGGAAAGTGGTGTTATTCCTATTTCTCAAATCAGATAATATAGGAAGAGCTGGTTTTAGGAGAGGATAATAGGTTCACTTTGGGGCATACTGAATTTAAAATACCTAGTTGTCCAGGTGAAGATGTATAGCAAGAGGTTGGATATACGAGGTCTTATACTAAGAGCTCTGGACTAGCAATAAAAAATTGTGCTCTGCATAGATACAAGTCAATGAAATTATCTAAGGAGACTGAATAGAGAGTTAATGACTTCCAATGGGTAGGAAGTGTCAAAATTTTGGGTAGGAGTGAGAAAGGGTATCACAGGTTGAAAAACCCATATTCAATAGATAGTTTCACATGGGAAGGGAAACATTACCTCTGTTTTCAGATTACAAAGTATAGAAAATAAAGCTCAGCAAATCTATCTTCTTTTTCTTCAATCTTCTCTGTATCAGTGACTCAGTGCACGGATGGGAGAGAAGAATAAATGCACCCATCACTCCCTACCCCAAGCACCACCACCAGAATTGGAGCCAGAGAATTTTTTATTTATCAAAAGGAGACATGGTTTAAAAAAAAATGTCAAGAAATACTGGTTTCATCTGAAAAAGAAACACCATTAGAATTCAGGACAAAACTAACATTTCAGGGGTCGTCAAAAGATGAGAAGCTGGCAGAAGCAACCTCCACATCTGGATCGGAATAGTCAGAAAGGAAGGAAGAAAAACAGGAAAGAGTGTGTTTACAGAAGTCAGGGAAGGAACTTCAATAAGAAGGCAGTGAAGAAATGTATGAAATGTAACAACACACCAAAAAGAATGAAAATGTCAGGGTAATGATCCTTGACTGGACAGTTCTATTTGACGGCCAGGGGCAATAGCAAAAGGCAGGGAGCTGTAGACTGAATGGGAAGTGAAAAGGGAGAGAATGGAGTTTTAGTCTATTCTTTCAAAGAAAGAGCCTGGTTGGATGGGAAGAAAAGAAGCCAGAGAGAGAGATGAGTTTGAGAGTTCATTTGTTTTGTTTTTGTGCACAACAAGAGTCTTAAGCACGTTTACACACAGCGGAGAAGGAGCCAATGAGATATAAATAAATACAGAAAGCAAGAAATAAATTATGAAGTGAAGTTCCAAAAGAGAGGGGAGAACAGAGCAAATCAGTAACAAAAATTCAGCTTTACAAAGTTTCAGAATTTTTTGGTAACAGGAATAAAGAAGTACTCACATTTTGAATAATGCTTTAAATAAAAAATTATGGTCTCAAATTTGTTATATTCAAATTCCTGTATTTATCAAAAATCTGTATCTGAAGACAATTTTCGTCATTCTCCAACCCAGATGCCATAGAAAAAGCATAGTTCACTGAATTTCCAAATTTGATTTTTAGCCTAGTGCTCTTCAAATTTTCTTACAAATCCCA